AATAAATAAATTATTTATTTTGATAAGTTGGAGTTTTCAAAGAGTATGTTCATTTTACAGAAATTGTTTACTTTGTAGGTCTAAAGCTTTTATAATATACTGTTTTTGATATCTGTAAAATCTATAATGTTATTATTTGCATCTTTTGTTCCTCATACTGAATTTTTTTTTTCTCCTTACTCAGTCCTGCTAAGTATTTATCAATTTCATGGAGCTTTGCATGTGACCAACTTTGATTTATATATTTGTTGTATGTTTTTACTTTCATTGGCTTTTACTCTTATTTTCTTTCTTATGTGTTCTGATGCCTCAAACTCAATCTCCACTTTTAGCAGTAAGATATTTTCCTACTGTTTTCCAAACTGTTAATTCTGTAATTATGAATACTAAGTTTTGAAGCTTCCCCCACTTGTTTCTCTGGCTTGGTGCAGCACGGATAGATGCATATCAAGACTGGGAGCCTTCCGTTACCAACCCTGTGTCCTCGACTCTTCTACCTTCGTTTCCCAAACTCATGGAGCCTTCATTGTCACTAAGATGAGGTATCTGAGGCCCAGGGCAATGATGACTCGGTGGGCTCTATAAACTTATATAGGGATAGAAATAGACCTCACCCTCTGCCTAATTCCTAAATAATTGTGCTTTGTACTTAATTATTTATGCTAATTGTTTTCTTTATTAAAAAAAGTAAAAAAAAAAAAAAAAAAAAACCTTGGCTCTGCTTTTTATTAAATGTTTGACATTGGGTAATTCAATTCACCTACCAACCCCCCTTTATTTCCTCATCTGTAAAATAAGTTGATAACTCTTTCATGAAGCTATTTGAAGGCAAATGAGTTAATCGTATGAAATAATATGAAATGCTTATTATAGACTAAGCACTAGAGGTACTATTAGGTTGTCGGAAAAGTCATGATGGGTTTTCTCCACATTTTTCTAGGCAAAAATATGTCATGGCTTTTCCCATAACCCAATACAATAAAATATAGTATCTGTCCTATTTATTATGATGAAAAGTGTGCAGTCTCATTTTGTGGATATATGCCACCAAATTTGTGAAGTTAAATTCTACAAAATTTCATTTTTCCATTAACTTTCATTTTACTGTTGTTCTTGTGTCCTAGTGGGCAAGATTCTGCTAGTAAAAGCATGAAGCCACTATGAAACCAGTTGTATTTGTCAGCATTAAAATTGCCTTCAATAAGTAAATAAAGCCGCTCTGTAACCACTGGCATTTCCTTTATAGCACTGTCCTCATTTTGAGACCTTGCCATCATTCCAGGCTGTTGCTCCTTTCTTAAACCAAAGGCATTTTGCTTAGAAGCCTCTGAGTTTTCCCTCTCTTTTAATTATTGGCATAATCCCATGACTTGGTGGCCAATGCATTGTAATATTTTTCTTGCCACTTGACTTGTTTAGGGATTGTAGGTGGAAAATTAATGTTCACCAACAGTTAGTTTAACATAAATTTTCTAAAAAATAGGGTCCTACTTCATGTCATCCTCTCACAATTATTAGTATTAATACCAACACAGCTATTTGAACCAGTTTCTGTATATGACTATTAAAAATAACCTGTGGTTATCTTTTTCTATAATACATACATTGTTTTAATTGGCTTTTCTAATTTATTCATATAGACTAGTTTACTTTTGTTTTAAAATTCCAGTAGGGTTTCAGTTAGCCATGTAGTATTTAGAAACCAGAGAAGATACTTTGGGAACTGGAGAAAATATAATGGATTGTGTGTTACGTGTAAATACTTTACTGATGCTAGGTGTATAAGTTACTAAGTCTTATTGCATTGCAAAATGAGCACACATACTAGAAATAATTTCAAAATTATTTAAGTTATAAATATTATAGATATTTATACAATATGGAGGTAAACTAAGTGTCATGATCATGAAAAATACAGTAAAGTTTTCCTAGAGGTTGTATGTGTGAACCAAGACATGTATGCATCTCTCTCTTCATTTCCGATAACGATAAAACCAAGTAAATGAAATAAAAAATGTTGACTGTAATTTAATAGTTGAAGTTTCGACATTCATAAAAGAGGTGAAGTGTACGTTCTTATGATTACTGTAGGCTCCTGATATTGTTTGTATGTTCTTAAGATGATCTACAGCACCATGACCAAAGTACCACGGGAAAAGAATCACTGCTGGGACATACTGTATTTATCGACTTTTCTCTCTTGGATATGTAAAGTTCTTAACCCTGAGACTGCGTTCAAATGGCTTCACTGTTTTTGTTTAGCAGTAGGTGAACATCCATTGTCAGTCTGGTCTTGTCATCTTTTGGGTGTATAAATAGCATTATCACTGTGGAACCTAGGTTACAATGGCAACCTTCTCATATTCTGGCCCCATGTATTTCATTTACATTTTCCCTCTATTTTGTCAATTATATGATTCCAAAATCATACAAATAGTTATGGTTTTTTGTTTAATTTAGTTTAGCTGTATACTGTTTCAGATCAAATTAGAGAAATATATCTTAGCTTCCACTCCTATGCCTTATTTCCCTACGAGATATCTGAGTTCCCACTACTACCTGGGAGGGAGGAATGCTTCTGTGACTTAACAAGCCCTTCTTGCTGCCACTTATCTGCTATTTTTGTTGTCGATTAGATCTTATCTCCTACTATTTTTTGAGTTTCTCTACCTTAACTCACAACTGTGGTTTTCTTCTTCCCTAGTTTCTACCTTTAGGCAGGAAGAGAGGTATACTTTAACTTATCCTTCAGTTTTAGGGGTCATTGTTTACCTCAGTCTTGGTGATAACATCTGCTTTTACAAACTGAGCACAGGAGAAGAGCAGACACCTTAATAAAAGTCTGCTTTTAAGTAGAAATGTATGTGTGTACACACACACACGTAAAAGCAAACTCGTTAAAATATATCACTTTTTATAAACATGGCAAAAATCAATAGATTTCATCTTTAGAGCTATAATATATCAAAAACCAACTCAAAGGAGGTTTATAGAAATTAATTAAATTGAACTCCTTTGATAAGCAGTCTGTTTTTACAGGGAAAACATAATATTCTAGATTTCAGTCAGATGTCCTGGGTAGCTTTGGAGAAATATGTTGCTTGTGGCAGGGTCATAGCAAAAATATTCAGTTTTCCAAGATTGCTTGGAGAGTTTTATACAAGCCAGTAGCAATTACATAGTGTTTTGTATTGTCCAGTATCTTCACTCTTTGGAATCCAGCCTGTTGTACTTAGGTTACCTTGGGCTGAGCAAGATCTCTGGTCTAAGAATCTAAATGATGGGTGTCCTGTACTTTCTTACCTGGTTATAATCTCAGTGCTCATATCTTTGAGATCTCTAGCTGGGCAGTAGAGTTAGGTTTTTAAAGTATCCTTGTAAATTTTTAGTGTTTCCACTTATATGTCTTGTATTAGAAGCTAATGAAACTCTTTTTATTTAACTTGGAACCGTTTTTTAGTTACTCTATACGAAACTTAATTTTGAAATATTCACAGCCTAGCCAAGGAGAATTTCTCTAGCTTTTGTAAACCTATCTATCACTTTATCAAGTTGGATTACTAGAAAACTATGTACGTGGGCCACATTTCAATAGCTTTCCAAATAGATGTCTTAACAGAATTATTATTTAATAGTATGCCCTTTTATCAGAGGTCAGTTAAAGAGAAGGCCGTATGAACAGCAATTTCTCTCAGCTTTTATAAGATCTCAACTGAATTCTATGGGTTATGTTAGTTCTTACCCCTAATAAAGATTCATATGGTCATGGCTTAGAGGTTTATCCTAGAAGAATCTCTAACTCTTTACAGGAACTGATATCTATTCTTTTCTTGGATACCGAATGCTTTATAGCTCAACAGTTTCCCATTTATAGGACCTTTCTAAGAATCACAGAAACAAATTGAGTATGGTTTGGATATTCTGGCGAAATCCTATTCGTGTTTTTCTTTACTTCATTCATCGGTTCATGTCCTTACTCCATTCTTATAATGGTTCACTTTCATGTGTTTTCTTGAAACGAGCAGTACGTAAAGAACTGAATGAGCTAGATAATTTGATTCTATATTTAGTATCAGATTAAGCAGTTTTTTAAACTAAGCATCTCAAAAAAGAGATCTTAGTTAGAGATCTCTTAAATTATACTCCAATTCAGTGAACACTTTGTTCAACTTTGAACACAATTGGAACAGCTGCCACTCTGCAGGACATGGACCCTAAGGCTGAAACTCCCATTCTGTATGCCATTGCAGAGCTTAGAGTAGAAGGTGCACACTCAGCATGGGGATTTAAAAAGGTTAAGAGGTTAGTGGTCACCCCATTCTACTTACAGATTCTCAAGTGATAGCTGTTGTATCACAGATCTCCACATTTTTTTTTTCCTTATAGCTGAGGGATCTCAGTTTAGACTTCTAGCCTCAGTTCCACAAAGTCCCCTCAAGATCTTTCTCTGCCAGAGTATTCTTGGCATTGCTTAAGTTATATGTTATAAAAAGTTTTTTGAATATGCTTTTCAAGTTTCTGGTATAATTTATTTTGCATCACAATTTGTCTTCCAGGAAAATTCATGAGATGTGTGTATTTTGATTCACTGATTTAAGTTACACAGGATAAAAATATTTATCCAAATAATAAATATTTATCCAAATAAACAGATAACATTTGTTTTTGGCTCCTCAGAATTTATTATTACTGAAGTGATTTTTTAAAATATATTTATTTAATTTTATTTAATGTTTTAAGTTGCTATCGGGCACATATACTCACCAGAGAGAGACAGAGACAGAGAGAGACAGAGACAGAGAGAGAAAGCAAGCCACTAGGTCCAGGACTTGAACTGTGGTTGGCTATGTGGGAGTTCAACACCTTAACCACCATCTCTCTGCTGACCCCAATGGAGCATATATTTAATGAGTCAATTTATCTGTCTTAAAATTAAAATGTATTTTCCTTTTTTAAAAAGAAGATTCAGTTATGATGCTTACTATTTTTTTCTACCACAGGATCCTGGCTATTGGGTGAAGATTCACCACTTAGAATATACAGATGGAGGAATCCTGGATCCAGATGATGTCTTGGCAGATGTTGTTGAAGACAAAGATAGGGTAAGTGACTCTAAACATATTCCACTTGTTTTCCTCTGCAGAGCTGCATGTTTTTAGGAGATTGAAATCCTTAACAAACCCATGTGTCAATTATTATAAAAAGATACCATCTGCTCAGGTTTCACCTGGACAGCCCATAAATCAAAGTTCTTCATCAGATGTTTGGAAAAACATTGTCAAGGTTTGGGAATCTGTTTCTGGTGGCCTAATTAGCAGATACTTCAACCCCAAGAGTTTCTGATACGTCTTAATAAATTAGTGTCAGACACTGATGCTGTTGGAGTTCTCATTGTTGTTCCTGGCTCTGGAATTTATCCTGGCTCTTGCTACATATTCTACTTAATGCCTGAGGTTTGAACATGTTGCAAAGTAAAGGATACAATGGAAAGGAAAATCTCACTGAAGAATCAGGACCAACATTTTTTTTTTTTTATAAAGTAGCTGGCAAACAGCTATGTGAAGTGATAGTCTTATTTTTATTTCTTAAGAAAAAAGAAACAAATTGAATATTTTTGAAGGTTTAAACAACATCTGCTATGTGTTTTGGGGGAATAATCCCATTGTAACTATCTTTTTTAATGTGTTTTTTCTTCTTTTTTTTTTTTTTTTTTGGGGGGTTTTTTGCTGTAGGGCATCTGCACTCTCCAGAAAGAGAGAGACAGAGACAGAGGGACAGAAAGCGAGAAATCACCACCCCTCCCCCGGAGGGTGGATGGCCACACTGTAATCTCTTCTCCTCTGTTCTCCTCTTAGGATCTTGGACACGCACGCACATGTGCCCGACGTGAGTTTAAGCCACCAGGTCTGGGACTTGAACCACTGTCGATTGCATGGGAGTCCAGCAACATAGCCATTATGCCAACTGCTGGTCCCAGTGTTTTTTCTTCTGATATAAAACAAAGGAGGATATAAAAGTAACTCTCCAGTTGCAAAACTGAATGATTGTTGCTGTTGTGGCACATCCTATCATACTCCTGTGTTGAGCTCCTTTTATCAATGGCTAAGGTGTCTTCCAAAATCACAACTCTTTCAGAGAGATCCTTGCTTGTAAACTCTCTTCTATTGTACAGCTTTGGTGCTGTTTGTACCAACCTAATTTGTATATATAAACATGTCTCTCTGCGATCCCTGGTGTGTGTGTGTGTGTGTGTGTGTGTGTGTGCACACGCACATATGTGCATGTGTGATTTTTGTCTTAACAAACCAAACTGGACTATAAATCAGTGATTTAGTGAACATTTTTCTTTTTTCCACAAGATCTCAACCGACTTAAATTTACAATAGTCGTTTCAGACATTCTGTGCATTCATCTTTCATAGTTTCTGTTGGAATGTAAACCTACTTTGCTTTGTATTGTAATTGATCATTTTGTAAGGGATTTATCCTTCTAAATAGGTTGTAAGCTTCTAAAAGACATGGACTCAAGGATTTTCATTTCTTTTGTGTTCCTTGTGCTAATAGTATCTAGTACAGTATCTACATCAACTTTATTCTCAAAGATCACTTACTGCAATAATGAATGTAAAAGAAAGCTCTACTCTGTTCAGTTGAGTGGCTATTTATTATTTTGATGCATACTTCCTGTTCATTTAGTTGGATTCACAGTAATAAGAATGTATTCCTTACCTTTAGAACTCTAAAGCACTCTTTTTTCCTCATTTCACTTTCTGCTTCCTCTTAGGACCCTATTTTTCCTTTGCAATATTCTATGTATTTGAGTTGTTTATGAATGAACAAGGAAGTTCCCCTGATTTCACAAATGTCCAGTGCATTAAAATGGAAAGCCAGGAAATGACATGTTCAAGAAAGGCCAAAAGAAAATGTTTCACTGTAGCCTCATCTAAGACCTTATTACAGTTCAGATGATTTCTGGATAGTGCCCAGGGAAATAATTTGTCTTATAGAGCTCTTCCTCATAGAGCATTATTTTAAAATATCTTGGCAATGGACATTTTGTTTAATTTTTTTAAACTTTATTTATTTATTTATTTTAATTTGACCAGAGAGGGACAGAGTGAGAGAGAGACTGAGTGTGTGTGTGTGTAAGAGAGAAAGTAAGAAAGGGACAAAGCAAGCTGCCAGGTTTGAGTCCCACAGTTGGCCATGTGGGAGTCCAGCACCCTTAACCACCATTCCTCTTGCTGGTCCCCTGCAATGAACTTTTGTTTTTTTAGCTGCAATTTATTTACTAGACACAGAAATAACTTTATTATATAATCTTTGTTTTAATAGGACCCACCACTCTTGGTAAATAAAGTGAAGAAGTGAGATAATCAGTGGCCCTGAATGTCTTTAGCACTTAATATATTTAAATTTTAATGTAGAGCAAACTTACAGACAGAAGCTATTGTGATGATTCCTATATATTAATACATGTATTTTATTTATTTATTTGTTTGTTTATTTGCTATAGGGCACATGCATTTGCTGAGAGAGACAGAGTGAGAGAGAGAGGAAAATTGAGAAATGGGGATGGCCATTCTGAAATCTACCATAAATAAACATGAATCACATAGTCACTATCAGTGCTAAGAACAAGTAGACCCATTATGGTATGTAACAAAATTAATTCAGAATTATTTTGCTGTACGTATTTAGTTCATTTCAACTCTCTTTGCCTATAGCCTGCATCAAATTTATTAACAAATGTTTTTATTAAATGTCTGCCATTCTGGGCCAACATATGTCATAGCGGTTACATTGCTGGACTCCCACATTGCTGACCTTGGCTCCAGTCTTGGACCAGGTGGCTTGAAACTCATGCCACACATGTATGCGTATGTGCTTAAGATCCCAGGAGGATAAGGGATTATGGCATGGCCATCCCCCCTGGGAGGGGAGTTCTCACTCTCCCTCTCACTATTTCTGTCTGTCTGTCTCTCTTTCTCTCTCAGGCTTCTGCATGTGCCCTAAGGCAAACATACTCTTTTAAAAAAAGTCTGCCATTCTGTTGCTTTCTTTAACATCCCCTTTCCCAGGTCCCAGATTACTCAATTCTTATCTAGTTTAATTCTAATTAGACTTCATAGACTGTACTGAGTCCAACCACCATATACACAATTTCAAAGGAAAATAAATTCTGTGTTACAGTAATTCCTTTTTAGATAGATTACAAAATGTGCACAAATTATAGACCATGTTGTCTTCAGGGACAGAATAATGGCCCCCTCCAAAGATACCTACTTCATAATTCCAGAACCTGTGAGTGACATGGCAAAGGGGTTTTCGAAGATGTGATTAAAGATCTTAAAATAAGATTATTCTGTATTATTTGGCTAGGGATAATATAATCTTCAAGCGTCCTTATAAATGAAAAAAGAAGACAGGAGAGTTAGTACAAAATAAAATGTGAGAAAGATTCAGTCACAAGGTTGGTTTTGAAAATAGTAGAAGGTACCAATAAGCCAAAGAACTCAGGTGGTCCCTAGAAACAGTAAAAACAAAGGAACTGACTCTCCCCAGAGGCTGCAGAAAGAACACAGCCCAAATGATGCCTTTGTTTTTAGCCCAGAGAGACCTATTTCAGACTTCTGACCTCCAGAACTAATAGGTAATAAATTTGTGTTGTTGGAAGCCACTAAGTTTATGGCAACGTGGTCTAGCAGCTGTAATACATGAGTACATTGCCTCTTGTCCTATTTTAAACTTTTAAAGTGCTGTTATTCTTCTAAAAAAAAAAACCCTGAGTTTTATGATCCTGCAGGATGAGATAAATACCTTTTGCTTCAGATCAGTTGGTCGCTCCTTGTATTCCTCTCCAAGTCGATCACAAATTCTCAATTTACTGGGGAAGCCTTCACTCTTAGGACTTGATAAGCAACTTAGTCATTATGCCGTTGTCTTGTGTAGAAATCATTTTAAACCCAAAGCCAAATATTTGTGTGATATTTACTTATTAGTTACTCATTGCAGTATGTAAAATCCCTAAGAAGTATGAAGACTGATGCATAGTAAGCCACTGCAAAACAATGTTTACACACTAATTTTTTTATTTGCAATTGAGTGTGAGAACCTCTGAGTATTAAACATTTTAGATGATTGTTTTCTTTAATTGTCATTATTGTTTTTGGCTTGGTCAAAGATTACAACTGCAGTAATAATGAAATACAACAGTAGGTAATGTCTATTACAGAAATTGGATTATTGCCATGAGTTGTTAAAAATATGCAAATATATAAAACTATATATCTATCCATATATGTTTTCTAGAGGGTGCATGCCTTCCCAGAGAAAGAGAGAAAGGGGGAAAATGGAAAATTATCCCCATGGGGGATGGCCATCTTGCAATCTCTTCTTCTTCATTTCTCCCCTTTTTCAGGATTTTGGGCATGCATACCCATGTGCCCAGTGTGTTTCTCAAGCCACCAGGTCCAGGACTCAAACAGTGCAGTCAGCCATGTGAGATCCAGTTGCCTTAAAAACATGCCACTGGATAACCCTAAAAGTACAACTATACTTTGTAGTAAAATAACATGGGAAGGTATCTCTATCTTTTACTAATCTTTACCTATCATAGGGCTCGATTTGGATAAATTTGCTGTTGTGGGTTCCATTGGGAGTAGGTTGATCCTGGTTCACATGTGATATCTGACTTTTAAATATTATAATTTAAGCTCAACTTTATGTATTAGTTCCATGTTTTTGAGCAAATGTCTTCATGTTCATTAGCCTCAGCTTATCCATCTTTTAAAAATATATGGCATTAGTTCTTAGAGGGCTAGTTTGGAAAGAATGTATAGGCAAACCGTTTCATGTTTTAAATGTAGTATGGTGTATACTATGCTCTCAAATTAGCAGTTGTATTAATACTTACAGTAGTGCTATTACTGTATTTTCTTACCTACATGTTTTGATTTAATCATCAAATGTTATTAAATTTTAGAACATCAGACTTTTTTTCTTATACACTGTATATACCTTTTAACTATTTTAAACAAACCTTACTAAATGTATTTATGAAAAATTATTAAATTGTTAAAATAATTTTATAAGAAGATCCT